TCTCCCGTGTAAGATTGGAAGTATCTAGGCAACGTTTTGATGAAGTCTCATTCATCATCTTCAGGCTTCTGTCTTCGCTTCTGTGCTTCTCAGAGTGTATATATATCTCAGCGTACATATATATATATAGAGAGAGAGAGAGAGAGAAAGAGATACACTCTGAGAAGCAGAGAGCCGAAGACACACACACACACACACACACACACATATATAAAAACACTGTTTGATATGCACTATGTTTATTCTGTCCCAAAATCTTAAAATTGCCAAGTTTGAAAAAAATATAGCTTTAGAGTCAATTCATACCTTAGGAAAACTGCAGAAAACAGGATATAGGCAAAATATTTTATTCCAACTTCTCTGGGTACTTAACAATCTCAAAAAAATATTGCTACAAATGCCAATCAAATCATTTTTTTTATTTTCCAAAAGACAGAAAAATCAACAAACTTAAAAGAGCCTGAGAGACTGGATTCACGTGGCATATTAAACCCAGGTTTATCAAACACAGCAGCGCTGTTCACACAAGGAAATAAACTATAATCTGGCACAAAGTGATAGTCACACACGGGGTGCATGGAGGAGATCTTATACCCTGTGCGCTGGCATAAATGAATTTTTAAATTTTACCTCATTTTTTGTGGAATGAAGGCTGCACATTTGCACGATATATTTAATTATGGACTTGATTCATGTATTTATTCTTATCCTGCCTTCATTATGTTTGCAAATGACTCGAGACAGCAAGCACACAAAATATTCCTTCCTTCTAGTTTTCGCACAACAACCCTGCAAGGTGGGTTGGGCTGAGAGAGTAAATAATGTCACCCAGGTGAGTTTCATGTGTAAAGCGGGACTAGAACTCAACGTCTCCTAGTGATTGGCCCAAACTCACCCAATCGGCTTTCAGGCCTTAAGCAGGACTTGAACCCGTGGCCTTCCATTTCCGGATTTCCCTAAACCATTGAACTTCTACAATCGTCCAAACGGGTGTGCGATGTACAGGTAGTCCTCCACTTGCAACCACAATTGTGGCCAAATTTTCCATTGCTAAGTGAGACCGCTGCCCAGTGAGTTTTGCCCCCTTTTACAACCTGTCTTGCCCCCGTTGTTAAGTGAATCAGGTTAGTCAACCCGGCTGTTGGGCGAATCTGGCTTCCCCGTTGATTTCGCTTGTCAAGAAAGTCGGAAAAGGAGACCGCGTGGCCCTGAGACACTGCAACCGTCGTAAGTACGAGTCAGCTGCCAAGGGCCTGAATTTTTGATCACGTGACCACGGGAGGAAGGATGCTGCAATGGTCGTAACTGCGAAAAACGATCAAAACTCACTTTCTCTAGCGCAGTTGTAACTCGAACAGTCATTAAACGAATGGTTGTAAGTCAGGAGACTAACTTGGAGTAAACCCTCAAAATCCAAACCAAGGTTAGTCCTAACCCAAGTTAGCCAGAGTTTAGGGTGAAAAATTAACTTTGAACTGTCACTAAATGGCTGTATATTGAGGACTACCTTCTGTATGCTTTGGCCAAATTGATTCTTCCAAAAGCAAATTGAGTCTCAAAGATTCTCTCTCTCACACACACACACACACACACACACACACACACACACACACAAAGGAACCGTAAAGCAGCTTGGAAGACCCAGCGAGGTCTGTTCCCGAGGAATTCTGGGAGAGGTAGTTTTGCAGGCACGCTGGATATTTGGCTGGTTCTCGGGGAGGGCAGCCCAATTTCTCCTCCAGTTATGGTCTCTAGTACAAAGGCTGCTTGAAGCGTCCTCTCCAGGTGGCCATGGGGCTCCCCATAAATCCCAGTTCTTCTCCTGAAGAAGATTCCCCATCATGGACTGCAAAAATTGAAAGATCTTGTATGTCATGGGTTGGGTTGGGTTGAGTTGCATTGGGTTGAGTTGAGTTGGGTTGGGTTGCCTGGGAAGATGGTCCCTGGCTACCCATGACCAAACCAGATCCATTCTTGGACAAACCAGGGTTGGAAGGGGGGTTTGCAACCATATCTTTTTCAACTAACTCATCAAGTGCCTTTCTTGATGGCTACCTTTCAACCCAACCATGACCTACATTGGCCCTCTACCTACAATATCTCAATTTCTGGAGTCAGAGAAAGAAACTTGAGAGAGGGAAGTATCCATAACTGTTATGGGGAGGGTTGCGAGGTCAAGAGGAAGGACCAGATCTTGCTGACCCCAAATCTTGGCTTGGTCTTCAAACCCCACCAAAAACTATGGAGCCAGATGACAAGGCACCTTCTTTTTGCACCTTCAAACCACCTGTCCTCACAGGCCTGTGGTTAAAATCAGCACACATACCCACATATACTTTCTCTTGATGGCTACCCTTCAACCCAACCATGATCTACTATGGTCTTCTTCCTACAACATCCCAATTTCTGGAGTTGGAGAAAGAAACTTGAGGAAATGAGGTGTCCAGAATTATTATGGGAAGGATCCTGAGGTCGGGAGGAAGGACCGGATCTTGGTCACCTCAAATCTTGGCTTGGACTTCAAACCCAACCAAGAACTATGGGCTCACATAATGAGAACCTTCTTTTGCCATCCCGTCTTCACAGATCCGTGGTTAAAATAAACACACACACGCACCCATTAATGAAACCCTGAATGGAGAAGAGGTGAAACCCATCTCAAGCCAAGTGAGCAAGCTTCGAAAACATGGTGGCCAACATTGTCTTCTTGAATCACAAGCCCCACTCAACGTTTTTGGATCAAGGAAGATCCTCTGGAGAAGAAGGCCCCAAACATCCCACATCCGTCAAGTTAAGAGTTGTGAAAAACAAAATTCGGGTGAGAAATTTCCTGGATCGAGAGCGTCCTCCTTTTAAGGCAGGGTTGAAATTGTAAAAGTTGCGTCCAAAAAAAAAAACAAAGGGAAAAAGAAGACTAGAAAGGACGTTGTTTGGAGCCGATGTTTTTTCAACCTTGGCTGCTTTTAAGATGGGTGGGCTTCAACTCCCAGAATTCCCCTGCTCCCTGAGGAATTATGGGAGTTGATACCCACCCATCTTAAAAGCAGGAAGTTTGAAAAACACCGATCAACCCAACCCGTTTGCAGGGTATTTAATTATTCACCCTAAGGACTGCAGGATGCAAGCAATTTAAGGCCACCCCATTTTTGGAGTGGGGGTATCAGAAAAAAAACAGGGAAAGCCAACCCAAGGACCCCATCCCCTTTGGCTCACCCCCCCCAAGGCTACCCTCTTCCTACCCCCCTCAAAAAGAACCAGTCCCTCCTTCCATCTCAACCTCTTCTTTGGCAACAGGCAAAACGATCCCACGCTTTGCAGAAATGTCCATCATTCGAGGTTCCTCTCCTTTCCGGTCCATTCCTACCCCCCCGATATGGTGGACCATGAAATCCAGCCCTGGGATGTGGAAAAAATACCAGGATCTGCATCCAAATCTCTTTCGGTGGGGTCCTTGGTACCCTCTGAGCTTGGTGGTTTTCTTGCAGACTTTTCATTACCATACTAGGTAATGTCACTGGTGCTAGAAGAGGTGGCGGGGTATGTGGAGTGGAGGAGGAGAAAGGAAGGAGAGCTCGTGGGGTCCTTGGTGCTCTCTGAGCTTGGCTGTTGGTTTTTTTTTTTGCAGACCTCTCATAACCAAACTAGCTAACATCATCCGTCGTCGAAGGCAGTGGGGTTTGCAGAGAGGAGGAGGAAGAGGAAGAGGAGGAAGACAATGAGGACTTCAGGGTCCTTGTTGCTCTCTGAGCTTGGCGAAGAAGAAGGAGAAGGAGAAGGAGAAGGAGAAGAAGAAGAAGAAGAAGAAGAAGAAGAAGAAGAAGAAGAAGAAG